CCCCCGGCCACTCCCAAATCTCCGCATGCCGCGCCAAAGCAAAAACTCTCAGCGCGCAGCCGACGACGCCACCGCTGTTGCCGCCACATCTGCTTTCACCTCATCCGCAGTCATTGCCTCAGCCACCGCATCCACTCCATCTTCCCCCAACATGGCCCAATCCTCCAGCATCGGTATGACCATCGTCAACACCCAGTTTATTGACAGCCTTGTTTGCGAACTTACAGGCGAACAAAGATCCGAGGCCGTTGCCACCGATTCGCATGATGTCCTCTTTCCAAACGGACATCCGCGCGTCCATCACCAAAATCGAAACCAATATCTCTGGCCTATCCAACCGTGTGACCTCTATCGAGCATCAAACCCCGACAATCACAGTGGTCACGACCACGACACCCACCTCTATGACCGTGCCCACATGCACCGCCCTCAAGTCCCAAACCACTACCCCGTCCATCTAGGTGGTCACCACCACCACCCGCACGTCCACAGCCGCCTCCAGCCACACCCCCCCACCAACCTCCTCCACTCCTACTACCTCTACCACCACATCCACCACCTTTGCGTCCTCCACCCTTCCCCCCCCTCATCCGGCACTTCCAACACACCGCCTCATTCCTCGCTTAACCACGTCACCCCTCTTCGTCCCCCGCACTCCCATACTATCTCACAACCCATCATGAGGACCTCCACCATCCCCACCCCCTTGTCCCACCTATTCCCAAGTCACCTCCGGGGCTTATCCCGCAATGCTACAACTTCCCCCCAACTACCTCCTTGACGACAACAACCAATTCAATTAAACCTGCTAAGACACTACCCCCGATAACCTGAACTTCAACACCTTCGCTCGGATCGTTTCCGCCGAAGGGGAAATCCCCTGTTCCTTCCGATCCGCCGACATCATACCCTTCTCCGGCCTTCCCCACAATGACGTTTTCCTCTTCCTTACCCAACTCCAAAACTCTTTCAAGCTCCACCACATGCCCCTTGTCCATTGGCTTCCCATTGCCACCTCCCGCCTTCTCGACAATGCTGCCAAATGGTGGATGGCTGAAGTCAGCAACTGTTGCGCCTCCGGAGGACCTCGTCACTCCTCCAATGGGCCAACCTTCTTACTGCCACCTTCCGCCCCCAGAAAACCATCGATGACTAACTCGAACAATTATGTCACCTCCGCCAGACCGGTCCCACGAACCGCTTCGTCCGCTCCCTCCGCCATCACCTCCCCACCACCGTCATTCTCGACTTTGCGTTCATCTCCAGCATCAAGCGAGTATGCCGCAAAGATCTTACAACCGCCCTCGCCCACAAACCCGACATGCCCCTTGCTGACCTCCTCTCTCACATGCTTCACCATGATCGACTCCTCCATCCCCATCAGTAGTCCGTGCCCGCTCCCTCCCGCCCCCGCTACTTCCATAACATCACCCCTGACGATACCACTCGACCCACCTCCGATGACGACTTCGACACTACCTCTCTCGACCCGTCCCAATTCACCATTGAGGACCTCCAGGCCGCCCACCTTATGCGGATGGAACGCCAGGATCGTGTCTCCCGACTGCCTACTTCCTCTCCACCCTGTCGTCTCCAAAAACTTACACCCGCAAAATGCATATACCTCCAGGAACACAACGGGTGTTTTCGCTGCCGCCAGTTAGGTCACCAACAGACCAACTGCCCTAACGCTAGCCGCTTTACTCAACAAGCCCCTCGCTCTGCGGGACCCGGCCCTTCTACTCCCACTTCTCACTCCACTGTGACAGTCGGACCCTCCTCCACCTGAACATTGTCCCCCTGTCTCTTGCAATCCTCCCCGGCATCCACAACTTGTCCGCCGACACTTCCATCGGTGACGATCTGTCCTCCATCGGTGACCCACTTGGCATCGACTATCCGTCTACCTACCCCCCCTCCGATGACGCACATCCCATCGGACGACCCCCAGGCGACGTAGTCTACTCCGACTGCCCCCCTCCCGACGACGTCTACTATCCCGTCGGTTGAGCTTCCCACTGACACCTGCTCTTCCACTCTCATCCCTAACCCCTTCTCTACCACCTTCTTCGATCTCATTGAGGAACAAGCAACGATACTACGATCGGCTTGTTAGGTTAGGCTTGGAACAACGCCGCCTCAACACCATAATCTCTTATGCTTATGCCGGAACCGCACTGTTCCAGCTCAAGTTTATCGCCGTCTCCCTTGGCACATCGACGGTAAAGTTCCAGACCCTCCTTGATATTGGTGCCATCGGCAACTTTATCACCGAAGCCTGTGTCCGCAAAATCGGCCTCTCTTCCACCGGCTATGACTCCCCGATCACCATCCGACTAGGGGATAAGGACTCAACCATCGTTGTCGATCACACTGTCCTCGAGACCCTCATGACTGTCGGTCCTCTTCGTAGTCAGGTCTCCTTCGATGTCATGCACCTCATGTGCGACATCATCTTGGGGACTTCATGGCTTGACCGTTTCATGCCCTACTCCTTCCACCCCTCCTTCGTTCGACTCACCCACCCTCCCGGCTCTCCTCTTGATATCCCTTACCTTCTCCCCCCTTCTACCCCACCCCTGTCTCCCCTCACCAGTTTCTTCATATATCTCGTGAACACCCCGACTCCGCTTACTATTGTCTTGTTCGACCACAAGCGTCCCGAGGACTTGCTTCCAACGGATAAACCCGACCAAGACCCCCTTTCCGATTCTCACATCACCGCTCTCCTCTATGAATTTAAGGACGTCTTCCCCGAGTCCTTGCCCGCCGGTTTTCCTCCCGATCGAGGTGTATCCCACACCATTGATCTTGAGCCCGGCCATTCTCCTCCTTGCGGCCCTCCGTACCAACTCTCTGTCCCCGAGGCCGAAGAAATGAAGCGCCAACTCAATGAACTCCTTGAAAAATGATTCATTAAGCCTAGCTTCTCCCCCTTCGGAATCAATTGTCTCTTCGTCAAGAAGAACGACACCTCAGAGCTCCGCATGTGCACAGACTACCGTGCCTTGAACCGGATCACGATCAAGAACAAGTACTCACTCCCCCGGATATCCGAACTTCTTGATCACCTCCGTGGAGCCAAATATTTCACCAAAATCGACCTCCGCAGTGGCTTCCACCAGATCCGTATTCGCGAGGAGGACATCCACAAAACCGCATTCCGCTCTCGGTTCAGGCACTACGAGTTCCTCTTAATGCCTTTCGGACTCACCAATGCCCCCGCCACATTCCAGTCCACCATGAACCACATCTTTCGTGACCTCCTCGAAGTCTGTGTCCTCATGTACCTTCAAGTTGATGACATCCTCATCTTTAGCCCCACCTTCGAGTCCCACCTTCAGCACATTCGCCAAGTCCTCTTGATCCTCTGAGAGCAAAAATTTTATGCCAAGCTCAACAAATGTACGTTTGCCGCTTCGAGCGTCGAATACCTTGGCCACATTATCTCCGCTGAAGGCATCCGTATGGACCCCTTGAAGGTCACAACCCTCATCGAGTACCCCCCAGCCAAAACCCTCCTCCAACTCCGTTCCTTCCTCGACCTTGCCAACTATTACCGCCCGTTCATTCACAACTTTTCCGAGATCTCTTACCCTCTCCACAAACTCATACGCAAGAACGAACCCTTCAATTGGAACGATCGCCGCTAGCACGCTTTCCACTTCCTCAAGCAGATCATCACCATGACCCCTATCCTCAAGATCGCCGACCCCACTCGCCATTTCTATGTCACCACTGACTTCGCCATTGGAATGGTACTGTCCCAACATTTCCCCCGCGACAGTGCCGAGACCCCCTCCATCAAGGACTCGCCCACTCACCCCGAGGCTCCACCCGAAGAATACCCCATCGCCTTCGCAAGCAAGACGCTCCTTCCTGCGGAGATGAATTACCCCTCCAACGAGAAGGAACTCCTCGTCGTGATTCACGCCCTCATAGTCTGGCGCCCGTACCTCGACGGACAATACTTCACCATCCGTACTGACAACACCATCGTTTCTTCCATCCTCACCAAGAAATACATCACCCCACGCCAAGCTCGATGGCTCGACTTCCTTGCCTAGTTCACATTTACCATTTGCTATACCCCCGACAAAAGTAACCGCGTTGCTGATGCCCTCTCTCGACGACCTAACCACAAGCCCCCCGAGAAAGTCTACGCCGCCATGACCCATATCCAGCTCCTCCCATCACTCCATCATCGATACACCCAAGGCTACCTCTCTTGCCCAGACTTCGCCACCATTTACAACAAGCTCCGCGATCTTGACCTAGTGCCCGTCTACTCCCTCCACGACAACCTCCTCTACATCAACACCAAAGACACTCGCCAAGTGTGCATCCCTGACACACGTGGTCTCCGTCCCCAGCGCTTGGCCGAGCACCACGACGCCAAGACCGCAGATCACCTCGGTTTTCAGAAAACCTTCGACACCATCTCCGCTACTTCTATTGGCCGTCTCTACTCGCTGACGCCAAAACATACATTTGCTCATGTCCCGTGTGTCAGACTGTCAATCCCTCGAACAGGACCAAACCCGGCAAACTCCAATCATTGCCCATCCCCACTCACCGATGGCAGTCCACTTCCATGGACTTTGTGTACGGCCTCCCTAAGACCGACCGTGGGTATGATTGCATCTACGTCATTGTCTGCCGTCTGACCAAACGCGCTCACTTCATCCCTTGCACAACCTTGCACACCGCCAAAGACATCACCTTACTCTTCTTCGACCATGTTGCACGCCACCACGGCCTCCCTGAGAATATCATCAGCGACCTCGATCCCCGTTTCCTCTCACAGTTCTGGAAACAACTCTTCAACGCCTACGGAACTACACTCAAGTATATGCATTCCACACACAGACCGATGAAAAAATCGAGAAGATGAACGATACTTTCCAAAGAATCCTACGGAAGTACTGTCATCCACATCAACACGACTGGGATCAGGTGCTCACCACCGATGAGATCGCTTACAACAACGTTGTCTGTCCTTCCACTGACATGTCTCCATTCTACCTTGACCTTGGCTACCATCCGCGCTTGTCCTCCGATTTCCTGCTTCCCTCGCAGCTCAACCCCTTCACACCCTACCCTTCCTTCAATGAATGGGTAGCAACAATGAATCGACTCCTCAAAGAAGCAACCGAAACACTCGAAAGAACACAAGAACAACAAACACAAACGAGACTTGCAATTCAAAGTAGGGGACAAAGTCTGGCTTTCCGCCGAACGCTTTGAACCCGAACATGGATTGTTTAAGAAACTCTCGAACAAATGGCTCGTACCCTTCCCCATCATTGAAAAAACATCCGACGTCAACTACAAACTCTAACTCCCCCTCGACATGAGTCCCATCCACCCGGTCTTCCACGTTGAATACTTGAAAGAATATCATGAATCCCCGACCCAATTCGTTGACCGCCCATATCCTAGATCTCCACCTATCATGTTACTCATAGGCCCTGAATTCGTTGTTGAAGCGATCATAGGTCGACGAATTACTCAGGTATATGATCACCCGGAACCAATCACTAAATACGAAGACAAACGGACCGGATACCCCGACGAAGAATCTACATGGGAACCTCTCTCGAATCTCAAGAATGTCCGCGCCTATGATCGTGCTACTCCTATCTCCTAGACACCCACGTAACTACAACCCTAAACCCTCGTATAAACCTTGCTACAACCTCGCAACCCCATTCTACACACACCTTTGAACCCAGTCCACCCTCCCCTCGACCCCGATTCCTGATGTCTGATCTACACTTGCCCTCACCTAGCCTTGTCCCATATGTCCTGTCCACTACCTTGTCTCTCTCGTCCAATGCTTATGAACCCGCGTGACGCCGGCGATAAAGGATCTAATGCCAAGCCTGAGCGCACGAGGACGATGGTATGCTGCCTCATTGTTCATGGAGATTATGCAGCTGGTTTGGCCACCATGCTGTTTCATCGGCCAACATCCCGACTCGCGGACTTACTGGAGCAGCAACTTGTGACATGGATCTTTGCATCAGTCTGCGACTTCCCTGCTTCCATATCAGACCTCATTGCAGTTCGTGTACCGGACACACCCTAGCACTTGGACTTTGGATATTTAGACTACTGTTACGTTTTTTGGACTTCTACCTGTCGCAACCGCTGAAGACCGCTTCTACCACCTACTCCAAGACCTGATCAAGACCACTGCAGATCCCCTTTTAAAACACTTGGATACTCTGGTCCTACATGAGATTCTGCTTCCGACTCCTTTGGACACACCAACCCTTGCCTCTTGAACAAACATTTTTATTTTTATTTTTTTTCCTAACTTTGACAAACCTGTACAACATCATTGGCAGATCCCTGTTTCCCTGACCGTTGTTTCCCTTACCTACTAGAACATCAATAGAAATTCCCTGTTCCCCTGACCATTGTTTCCCTTACCCACTAGAACATCAATAGAAATTCCCTGTTTTCCTGAACATTGTTTCCCTTACCCAGTAGAACATCAATAGAAATCCCCTGTTCCCTGAACATTGCTTAGCTTCCCCTATAGACCGACCCAGTTACATCATACCTTTACTTCTGCAGAACACCGGACATAATACCTTGTGACTTGCATCACTCCCCTTCTCCATCTCCGACCAGTGATCGGCCCTGTCCCGTCCTTCACAGCTCATGTCGTTTCCAGGACGTTGGCTTTTTCGCAGCCGGGACGTTGCCTTTCATAGGGAGGGGATAGTGTTACGGACTCCGCCAGGGCTCGATCCCTGGTCTATCTTTTTGTTGTTTCTGCTGCATCCCGTTTTCGGGCCGACACCGTTTTTCCCAAACCCCTCCTTTGGTACCGTCGGATTTTGGACAACTGGCGCCATGCTACAATTCGGACGCTACTTTCAAATATCGCATTTTTCAGTTCTGCCCTTGGAGCTTTTGCAGAAATGCCCCTGGTGCTGTACGTGTCATCGGTACTTATACCGGCTCCCCGTATAGTACGGGGACTAGTCTCGTACCAGTTTTCAGTTGTTGTACTCGTACTCAGTGTGACTTGTTGTTTCGGTATTCAGAATCCAAGACTTCGGCTTTGTGCCTTGCCACTGTGTTTGCGTCCGACCCTCAGTCGTGTCAAGTGAGCGAGTGTGTGTGTGTGCTCTCACTCTCTCCCTCCCTCTCTTCTCTTCCTCGGCTCTCCCTCAGCCTCGCTCTCGTCACACTATCTTAAAAAATGTCATTCCAATTAAAAAAAAATTCGTCTTACCTGAAAACTTCGCTTCCATGAATGGGTTATCCCTTCTTATTTGAACTGCATGCTACAGATGGAATTAAAATCTGGATGAGTTCATGAAATATTTTAATTGGACTGTCATTCTCGTAAGCGGTTAACAGGGAACCCCACTTTTCTGCCCTCGTTAACCCCTTCAACCTTGAAAAGTGCATTGGAGATAACTTTTTTTAGTTTTTTTTTTTTTTTTTTTACCTTGTTTTATTTTTGGTCAAGGTCTGTGTGTGCCAAGTTCGGTGTTTGTTGGGGTCTTGGAGTTGACTGTTTTGGCTAGCCCTGAAAAATCCTGAAAATCCTGAAAACTTAAATGAGTGAATTTTGCATGAAAATACACTTTTGCCTTGATGTTTTATAGGCTTTAAAAAAAAAAAAAAAACATTTTTTTTTTTTATAACTATTTGCTATGATTTCCACTCTATGAATTGGTGGCAAGTTTGGTTAAAATGACCCTTGGGTGTTGTTATAAATAGCTTGACAAGTGGTCTGAAAATTGAGGTCTTCATTAACCGTCTCTTCTCATTCCAAGATTCGAAGATAATTTTTTTATCCCGTATTTCCGGACTTCTCCGTTGTCTCGCCAATTACCGTCACATAGCAGACTCAAAACTTCATTGCATAATTAGATTGTCATGTATACCTCATCATTATTTGACTATGGTATATGCTGCCTAATTCAAGTCTCGCTCACGAGCTAAGGTCTTCACTATAGCATACGAAGACATAAAAAAAACACGCAATGATTGGTAGTCAGATTATGAAATTTTGATTCCCAACTCACTATTACTTTTTGAACAAGCGATGGTTATTTGATAAGGTTTTTAATGATTTCATATCTAAATCATTTTTATGTCAGGGACTCAGGGGTATGAAATTTCTTTGAAAACTTTAGAACTGGGTAGCACCCTGTACGCGTACGTACTCCAGCGTACGTGTACGAACCCGAAATCGCGCGTACGTGTACGTAAAAAAAAAAAAAAAAAAAAAAAAAAAAAATCCAAAAACTCTGAAAAAAAAGTATGTTGTGCATAATAATGATAACCACAACTTTTGCCTGGGAGTCATACCCGAATTCCCAACCAAGCTTGATTTTAAATTCCAAAACCTTGAATATATATTTTAAATAGTTTTTAAATTATTATGATAATATTACCTTTTTTTTAGTTTTTAATTTCTTACTTGACTTTGATTGGGAATTCGGGGACGACTCCCCCACAAAAGTTGTTTGTATCATGTTTCTGCATAACATATATATGTTAGAAAAATTTGTTTTTATTTTTTTTGTTTTTTCCCTAATTTTTTATTTTTTATTTTTATTTTTTTTGTTTTTGGTGTCTTTGATTTTTAACTCGAGTTTGGTACAGAATTTGCAATGAGTCTCACACTAAAGTTGTTTGAAATAAGATTGTTCATAACATGTTTTTTTTTTTTAATTTTCAATTTTTTATTTTTTTATTTTTTTTTAACGTATTCCCACGTACAGGAGTACGTGTACGCGCGTACGTGTTGCGTACAGGAATACGTGTACGTGTGTACATGCAACCCGCGTACACGTACGCCGTGATACCCAGCTTTAAACAGACGTGGCATTTTCATTTTAAGTTTGAATGAAATTAACACCAAATTATTAACCTATGAAACAATCAAATAATTTAGAAAAATGACAAAAGAAATATGTCAAAGTTATATAAATCATAAATGGATTGAAGTTTTTTTAACCAATTGCAACATAAAAATTTCCCATAATTAAATAATCATTCTATAGTAGAATTACATTCTAAATTTTGAGTTTTCAATCCATCTTTAAAAATGTCATTCAAATTTTAAAATGTTTCGTCTTACCTGGAAATTTCCATTCCAAAAAAGGGATTTTATTTGAACTGCATGATAGAGATGGAATGAAAGTGAGGATGAGTTCATGAAATATTTTAATTGGATTGTAAGTTTATGTAAGGAGTTCTTGTCAT